TAATAAAAATAATCATGTCTAAATGCTAATTCACAATACAGTGATTTTACTAAATCAGCTAATATTTTAGGAAATATGAAAAGTTCAGTTGTAGTCATAATAAAAACTGCTTATATTGATATTTAAAATATTTTTTAAATCATAAAGAAAATGTCTCAAGAACAATAATGTAAATAGATATATGAATAAAAGAAAAAAAGAAGTAGAAAACAACAACAAAAAAAGAACCTCAAGAGATAGCCTCACTAAGTTCAGAATTTATCATATTAGAAATGACAAGAATAAGTTCCAGAAAAAAAAAATAACCAAAAAGTTGAAGCTTCACAAATTTTACACAAATGACTTAATTTTCTTAATACAATCTCTCCACAGCTTTAAAGAACATATATTGCTTATATCATATTTATAAATACAGGAAACGCGTAAACAAAAAGCTGTATATGCTCTAATATGAGTGACTGAAAATGTTTTCAAGTCATCCTGTATTTAATTTTTCGATAGTTCTATAACTGATTTATGTCTTGCTTTCTAATATTACCACTAGGTAAAATGTGACCAAATAATGCAGCTAATCACAGTACTCTTCCCAGCCCCCAATTATTCCATATCAGTTAAGTCCATAAGTCCAAAGAAAATTCACATACACAATAAAAAAAATTCATTCAACAAGCATTTATTCAAAACTTATTATAAACCAAACACAAAAGTAGGCACTGGATACAAATCACAGAATAAGTCAGATATAACCTGTGCCCTAATGGAACTTAGAAAGCATGGGCCGGGGCATTAGAGACAGCAAACAAGTAAACAAACAAAAACATAAATATTTATAATAATAAACTTTCCTATGGAGGAAAGTTTAAGGATGGAATGCTGGAAAAAAGAGAGAAGCTGTTTATGGTCATCTTTGACGAGATGACATTTAAATAAATCCAGACCTGAAGACCAAAGCAGTCAGTTTGGAAAGAGCAAAGGTGAGAGTAAACCTTCCCTTCGGAAGACACAGCATGTGCAAGGCCCCAGAGGTACAGGCCCCAACAGGACATGTAACAGAGGGGATGAGGTGTACCTAGGGCAGGGTGGAGAAACTATAAAGACCACGCACTAAGGCTTTAGTTAGGCCTCAGAAAGCATATTGGATTTTTGTTCTAAGTACAAAAGAAACTCATTGAAGGGTGTTAAAAGGGGGAATGACATTATTGATGTCTATTACTTTGGTAAAAAAAAAAAAGCTATAAAATAGAAACTAAGGTGGTAATGTAGACAAAAAATAATGTGGATTAAGAAGTGGAATAGAGGGTTGAGATATTTTAACAGTAGAATTAATTAAATTTGCTAATAGGGTTGGGGGAAGTAAGGGCAACTATATACAAGATAGTGGCATCAACTATGATGATAGAAAAAGAAAATAAAGTATAGTGGGGAATCAATAATGCTTTAGATGCCTGTGAGACAGCCAAGGTCTGTTGAGTGGGCAGTTCTATATGTCAGTGCTGGAAATCAGAGACATACTGATCAAGTTCTTTAAACTGGCCCGGAGTGTTTATAAAATACAAATCATTGTGCAAAACTCCAGGCTTCGATATCAAAAGGGACATGCACATGTGCACATTTTTTAACATATTCTAATGATTCTGATGTCAACTAGAATCTGACAGCCACTTAGGTAAATAGAATGTAATGTTACAGTTCATCACCTAGAGCTAGGACGCTTTACAAAAAGGAAAATTGTTAAGATTATGTTTTCATACTATCTAATCTCCAATCACACATTATAGAGGAAATAATGGTCTAATTCCCATTTTTCAAATGACATTTACTGAAGGCCACTCTGAAGATGTACAATTTCTTCTATTTCTTTTTTTTTTTTTTTAACAAAATAGCCAGGAGATAGCTCACAAATGAATAAGCAAAGGCTCAGAAAAGTGGAAAATCTTGTCCAAAGGACATACAATCAATAAACAGAGCCAAGACTCAAAAATCAATATGACACAATTCCAGTCTGCTTTCCACCACATGAAAATGCCACAAAGCTCACGCCCACAAAGCTCACCATCTGTGACATGTCATGTGCAAAAATAATTATAACAAGATAAAATGGGGTGAGTGCCTTAAGGGAAAAGAAAGGACAATGAAAGTTGAAGGAAAAATTACTTCTTGATTTTCACTATTTAAAAATTTTATAACTGCAAAAACTACAAATTTCTCCTTTCAAAGGATCTCCCTAAAGTCATAAAACAAGTCATTAACGGCTAAACCACAGCTGTCTTACCAGTAAAGTGAGGACACAGAACAAAAATCTATGTACATACTTAATAGTCAATATCATTTATTATTGGAAGAGTACAGAAATAATTTATATCGGACTTTTAACATAGAATGTTGTATTTTACTTCAAAATCTATTCAATACTGTATCTACGTACCTGGCAAAAGATCAGCGAACAAAACAGTCTCTGTCCCGTAAAATTCAAATGAGATGAGAAAGTAAGTAAGCATTTACCAATCAGTGGAAAGTGCTATTAAACAAAGAGAGGAGGGTGAGGAAGTAAGGCAGGAGGTAAGAATTTGCTCTTTTACATAACTTTGAGGTAAATCCTCACATGTAACTAAAGCCTGAAATAAGTACAGCAAGCCACCACACAGTTATCTGCAAGGGAGGAGTCTTCAAGACAGAGGGTAGACAGCAAGTGCAAAGGTCTTGAGGCCGGAATTATATTCCTGTGTGTGGAAAATTGTAAGCAGGCAAATGTGTGGGTGAGGGGTAACAGACGCCGGGAAAGGCATGCTCTAAAAGCAGAGAGTATGGCGATCTGACTTAGGTTTTAAAGAACCGCTCAGACTTCTGTATGGAGAACAGATGAACAAATGGAAACAGTGAGCCTCCTTACAACTGAAACAGTCCAGGAGACACATAATGCTGACTTGAAACAAGAGAGTGATGATGATTATCTGGGTTCTAGTTAGGTTTTGGTTAGAAAATCCACAGGTTATTTGATAAATTTGATGTGAGGTGAGAAAAAAAAAAAGAATCAAGGAAAGTGTCAAACGATTTAGGAAGCAAGGAGTTAGCATAAAATGAGACAAGTCAGAGAAGCAATTTTATTTTCAAACACCCAGAAAATTGCCTGATATATAGTAAACACTCAAATACTTATTTGCAAATTAAATTTAACTGAATTAACTGGACAAATCCCCTACATCAAACAGTAGGCTCAATACATTGCTTTCCTTTTGCTCTACATTTCCTTTAGCAATGTTTGTCAATTACACACTTAGATTAGGTGCTCACGGAACATGTGCTTGGAGCACAGCAACTAATTCTACCTCAATAACCAGTTTCAGATTTACAATTTTCCTGAATACATACTACGGGAGTTACTATAACAGCTCTGTGACAGCCTGAGGATTCTTACACCCGAAGTAATTAACCTGTTCATTAATGTCAAGTTCCTGGAAGGTAGTGAAGTGCAAAAAGAACTCCCAAAGCCAGAGTTAACTGAACCGCCTAACATTTCCTGATAAATTTGCAGAATGGGGCAAGACCGAACAAGCGCCCTAAAAGAAAATAAGCCACCAGTCATCAGTAATTTCTTTAAATAGCTTTTTTACCCCCAAGCAAAAAGTCCCTTCAAAAACACCTTCAATGAAAAATAAAACCTGCGTGAGAACATGAGATTTAGTACCTCTTCCTCAAAGGAGACATTTCCCCTGCCAATTAGCAAAACTGAGCTCCTTAGGAAAGAGGTGGATATGCTCACTCCAGTACCTCTTACTGACCTATACCCAGATTTTCTAACCTCCACCGTCCTATATACAGCCCCACAAAGAATCACAGAGCTAGCTGAAATATGTTCAAAGGAATGTTCCTAAAATGAAGTTACCATTCCTTCCTTTCCTCCGATTACTTAAAAATGTTAGCCGAAGCTTAGGTATCATCTCTTCCACCATACTTTTCTTAATGCCCCACCCTAAGCCGCGAGGTCGGGGTGTGGTGTGTGTGTGTGTGTGTGTGTGTGGTATGTGTGATGTGTGTGTGTGTGTGTCTGTGCGCGCGCGCGCGCGCGCGCTTGCAACTTTTAGTGGAAATAAAGCTGAAAAACCTATATTAGGAGAAGCTGATCGCACCGACTTCAGCAACAGGCAGTACTTTCCCTTTCCCTGTGGGTAAAAAGGTCTTGAGCCAAGCCAACCCAATCTGCTACGATGCCAGCCGGCGCCGTACCTTCCCCCAAAGCCAGCCAGGAAACTGCCGCCACTGACCACTCAGCTGACCAGGGAAGGCCCGAGGTTGTGAGGGAGAAAGGTTACGAGCCGGGTCTCCAACCACCGCCTAACAGCGAGTGGAGCCGGGCCGACCCACAACTCCACGCCAAACGGAGCGACACACATTCTTGCCCAGCTCCAGAGGCTCAGCACGGATCAGGGATCAGGGGCGAGGTGGAGCGGGGAGAGGAGGAGCGAGAACCGCCCCGGTGCGGGGAGTGCCCGAGGGGTGCCCGGCGCCCGAGGAACGGAGCACAAATAAGCCCGCGTGCCAGCGAGCCAGCGGCGTCCCCTCGGGAGCAGAAAGCTCGGCGCCGAGAAAAAACGCTAAGGGCAGGGAGCCCACCTGGGCTTCACCTCGTCAGGGAGAAAGGCTGGCGAGAACGGGCGCGGGCCCCTACCAAGGGGCCTAGGACGCCAAATCCCCGCGAACGGGCCGGACGCCCGGGGGCGGCGAGGTGGGGGCTACCGCGATTCGTTTCTCCCGTCATCACTGAAAACCGGGAAACCCTGAAGAGAGGAGAGTGGGGTGGGGTGGGGGAGGGGCGTGAGAGCAAGCGGGGCGAGGGCCGCAGGAGCGCGGGGTGCGCGCTCTGGGAAGAGCCTGAGGGCGCACCCCCGGCCGGAGCCCGGGAGGCGCGACCGCCCGCGGGACTCGGGAAAGCCGGCGCTTCCCCGGCAGCGGGAAGCGGGGGTGGGGGGGCCGAGCACCCGCCTCCCCGCCCCCACACTCACCATGTAGAGGGTGAAGGGCAGGCCGAGCAGAAAGAGCCACAGGTAGAGGTGCAGCGCGTTCACGAAGGTGGCCTGGTGCGGGTCGTAGTACCAGCCCCCGCTGAGTGCGGCCCACACCCCCTGCCGGAGGATCTG